GAAGTATATTTGCTCAAGCCTTTGTCTTAACTTGGGCAGCAGCCCCATTGGGACTTTTATTAATTTATTACCTGTTAATGAGCTACATCCTGTTCTGTTGCCTGAATTGGTCAGTTTTGTTTCATAAAGATCAACACATTTTTATCAGGCCGTTATAAATTCCACATCAAAGTCCAACATGGGCTCGCAGGTAAATTGCCTGATAATACACTTACTGGGTTTTGGGTGTGATATTATAGGATGAGAAATTTGCCGGGAGCTTGGGAGTAATAGAGGAATTCAATGGCACAAGTATTGGATTTCATTCCTTCATGGGAAGGAAGGAACACAGTTCATTGCCTTCATAAGCCAAAAGGATCAAAATCTTCGAAACCAAAAATCTTCTGTTCTGTTCTGAAAGGGGAAGAAGACGATGCTTTTTCCAACCTTGTTTTTTTCCCCGTGTTTCTTTTTCCGAATCTCAGGGTTTCTCTTAAGTATGTCCTGTTTCAGTGATAGCGCTGAGATCATTTTCATCGAACATTGATCAGTTTAATTGACTTAAGGGAGCCGTTATCTTTTCTTTACGAGCAGCCCGGACTTGTGTTAGAGGCAGCAAAGTAGCATTATTTGATTTGTATCCGCTCCTTGCTGGCTTTGCTGATCAGTACTACTTTACTTGCATCCTGTTCTTTTTCCTCTCTCTGCTTTTGAAAGCGTGGATTAGGGATTTTCACTGTGCTGTACACAGGAAGCAATGTCAGGGCACAGAGCAAAGTTGAATAGCCTGTGCAAAAATGCTAGATGCTCAACATTTTGCATGTCAGTACAGGGTGGCTGAGTGGCTAAGACGCTGAGCTTGTCGATCGAAAGGTCGGCAGTTCAGCGGTTCGAATCCCTAATGCCGCGTAATGGGGTGAGCTCCCGTTCCTTGTCCCAGCTTCTGCCAACCTAGCAGTTCGAAAGCATGTAAAAAATGTAAGTAGAAAAATAAGAACCACCTTTGGTGGGAAGGTAACAACGTTCCGTGCGTCTTTGGCGTTTAGTTATGCCGGCCACATGACCACGGAGATGTCTTTGGACAGCGCTGGCTCTTCGGCTTTGAAACAGAGATGAGCACCGCCCCCTAGAGTCGGGAACAACTAGCACATATGTACGAGGGGAACCTTTACCTTTTTACCTGGCTATAACCCTCCATTCCTTTTTGTAGGGCATGAACTAAGATTATATGTAGGAGAGAGAGGGGGGGAGAAAAGAGAGGGAGGGGGAGAGAGAGAGAGATCCACATCCCTGCAGGATCTGAAGTGATTTTTTTCACCCAACATACTTCACAGCAATTTGGGCTTCAAAAATTACTCATTAACTACACCATTTCAAGTAGTGGATTTGCCATTTCCAAAAGGATGTCTGTGAAAGTGGAATTTATTTTGCATTAATGTTCCAAATGACTTGACGCATATGACGCAGGCAGGGTAAAGTTTATCTCGACTGTCAAATAAATAGCTAATGAATGAAAAGCTACTGTTTCCCAATAGGAAATAAGATGAAAAGCTGTTATGTAATACAGTATATACTGTACATTCTTAATTAGAAGCAAATAATTTTCTGTATTTGCATACCAACCATAAAATCAGTTTCTGCTCTCTTTTTTGCCAGTTATGAAGGAAATGATGTATTTGTATATTAACGATGGAATATTACTTTTAAAAAAACCCACTAAAAGCAGACAAGAGTGAAACATTCTATAGAAGTATAGCTTGGGACAGTATAGCAATTTTTGAAGATGAAAAAGGATCTCGTTGGAATTAAAGAAGTTTCTTCGTATGCTAAGTCCCTTACTAAGTTTGGAACACAGCTGCTTTCTTAATAGAGGTTTAGAGGCAGGAGTTGTGTGAGAGCTCTCCTAACAGCTGACAAGCTTTCTATAGCAAACTCTTTCTACAGGTAATATTCTTTCTAAGGGAACAAGCCCTATTAGACAGACTCGTTCCCCTTGCTCCCCACATAATCCTATGACGTCTTACTCAGAAATCTGTCCTGCCATTTCCTTGTTCCTTCTTAATTGTTGCAAACTGGCATGATGTCAAGAACACCTGTCCTGTGTCCAGTAGGGTAGGTGTAACCAGATAATCCTAGTAAGTCTCTTTGGGCTGAATAGGAAAACAACAGTGATGCTGGCAGCCAAGGAATTTCCCTTCCTCCTCCTGTGTTGCAATCCAGTCCTTTGAGTAGAAACCTTGTCGTGTCCCGGGGCTCCTGCAGTTGGGTAAACAAGGATTGACGTTAAGAGCTTTGTAGGGAAGGGCTCATCCTTAAAGTAGGGGTGTTAAGCTTTGATTTCATTGAGGGCCGCATCAGGGTTATGTTTGACCTCAAGGGGCCAGGGTGGGCGTGGCCAGCTCAACGTCACTGGTGTCGGGGGCACCTGTGATAGCCCAAGCACTCTGCCAGCAAAAAACGGGCTCTCAAGCTCTGTTTTCGGCTGCAAACTGCCTCCTGCATCCCTCTGCCAGCAAAAACCGAGCTCTGGAGTGTTGCGGGCGGCCCCCCCGAGCTCCATTTTCTCTGGCAGAGGCACCACGGGTCAGTCCTTCGCAGTTTCCAGGGCGGCCCCACGGGCCAGATCTAAGCACCCCGCGGGCCAGATCCGGCCCCCGGGCCTTGAGTTTGACATCCCTGTCCTAAAGAACCCAAACAGCAACTTGGGGAAATCCAGAATGAAACCAATCTAGACTGTACAAAGTAAGGCACTAGGAAATATGACCCCCAAAAGAACCAAGGTTTTCTGTTCCTCTGCCATTTAGCATCTCCTCTCCCCCCCCCCAATATTTGCAATAATGTGTTGGTCTTTCTGTTTACACACTCCTCTCTTTTCCTGTGGGCATTTTGCATTTGACAAAGCAGGAAGACACTTCAGCCATGTGCGTGCTTCTTCCCTTGAGCGTGCTCTAAGGAGATTTCAACTCATCGGTAACATATTACTGCTTCTTCTAAGGATGGACTGGGATTGCAGCATGAATCCCAAGGATAGGAACCGCAGAATAAAGGACATTGTATTATTGAAGTCCAAACTGGAGTAGATATCTGATACAAATCCAGGGTTTTAACTAGGTGTTGTGACCCGCCGGTGGCCAGTGGAGCTGGCAGCAGAGTCAGACAGTGAGGAGGTTGGGGAGGAACTTGGGCCAGTCCTGGGGGCTGGGGAAAGCTCCGATGAGGGCTCTGCATTGGAGGCAGAGAGGGAGTTAGACAGCAGCGAGGCAGAGGAACATCTGGAGCCTGTTCCCAGTGTGCGCATGCGCAGAGCTGCCAGAAGACAAGAACAATTCAGAAAGCAGGGTAGACTCGGGAGTAAGGCCTCATCTTAGAGATGATTGGCCCCTCCCATAGGACATAAAAGAGGAGCAAACGGGATGTGGGCTTTTGCAGGAAGCAATTAGTTCATCTCCTTTCAAGATTAGAAAGTTCTGTTCAGTGCCAAGTTTGGCCTTGCTCTGCATTTGGAAGTCGGTTCTCTGGCAGCGTTCCAAGTGAGATAAGGTGGGGGTTGATAAACATTCTTCTGAAAGACTGTTTGCCAAAGCCTTGTTGACCGAATGAACCGAATTCACAGTTGTGTTAATAAAAGAGGTTTTACCAGGATTAAGACTTTGCTTCATGCTGTCTAAGGAAGCCTAGGTCAGAACACTAGGGCTAGTTAAAGGAGACAATGAAATGCTCAAATCTCCATAAATTTTCTCCTCAGAAAAATTAATTTGCAAGTGGGAGGAGGGAATCTGTTTTTAGGTGATGCGAGCATGAGCTGCAGTCGTCTCTTCTGATTGAGGCTTAATTACAATATATCATCATCCTCATTTTAGCCATTGTCCATCCATTGCAGCAGGAAGGCCTCTTCCACATGTTTCCAACCAATATGGTCTTTGAGTTTCCTTTGCCAATTGGGCCCACAATACTTGCTGATGATCCATCTTGTTTTGGGTCTCCTTCGTGGACTCTTTTTATCAGGTGGGATCCATTCTTTGACTGCTTTGGTCCATCTGCCGTCAGTTCTTCTTGCTACGTGACCGGCCCGTTTCCGTTTCCATTCTTTTACTCTCTTGATGATATTGTATACTTTTGTTTGTTCTTTAATCTATGTGCAGGTCTTTCTATCTTGTCTTGTGATGCCAAGCATGTATCTTTCCGTGGCTCTTGGAGGCCACTTGTAGCTTTTGTATTGATTGTGAGGTTAATGTCCATGTTTCACCGGCATATGTCAGAGCAAGTGGCACACACTGATAGAAAACTTTTCAGACAGAGGGGGAGGGTGTTCTTGAAAATCATGCTTAGCTTGTCGAATGCTTCACTTACCCACACAAACCCCTTCGCCTTGTCAAGGACCCAATCATACAAGGAGAATTACTGTCTGTCCGCCCGTCCATCTCTCTCTCTCTCTCTCTCCCTCCCCACAGAGAGAAAGAGAGAGAGAGATTAGATATAGATTAGATGTAGATAAGATATAGATATAGATACAGATAGATTAGATATATAGAGATATAGAAATAGATACCTTGTTTTCCCAAAAATAAGACTGGGTCTTATATTAATTTTTGCTCCAAAAGGCACATTAGGGCTTATTTTCTGGTTAGGTCTTTTTGGGGGGGAAATACATACTAAATGCACCCATCTGGCTGACAATCTTAACTGGAGCTTATTTTTGGGGTAGGGCTTATATTACGAGGATCTTGAAAAATCATGCTAGGACTTATTTTCCAGTTGGGTCTTATTTTCGAGGAAACAGAGTACATAGATATACATAGAGATATGTGTGTATGTGTATGTATGTATGTATATGTATATTTGTGTGTATGTGTATCTATGTATATATGTGTATGTGTGTGTGTATGAATAATTTATATATGTTTAAATCTGAGAGTGCTTCAGTAGGGAGCAACCTTTATTTTCTTTAAACGTGGATGCCATTTTTAACGGGTGATTCTGGAAAGTGAACTCTCTAATTCCCTCTTTTCAACTCCCAACAGGTTGGTTTTCCTCCACCTTCCTAATTGCGGCCCCAGCATTCCAGCCCAGGGACACCATGGACAGATGATCTTGGCTCTGCGCCGCCATGCTACAAATGCGTGGCCGCTACCTGCTGCTCTTCCTGGGGGTGCAGCTGGTGGTGATGGCCCTGCTGTACCGCGAGGGCTACCGGAAACGCGTTGCTTATTTCTTAGGCATTTTTTGCAAAGGGGGCACATTGACTATGCTGAGCGGCTTCCCCAACGCGTCACTGCCGGGGGATGTCTACGCCAACCTCAGCCTGATTGCTCGGCCTCCTCTGCCCCCCGAGGAACTTCCCTACTGCCCCGAAGTCTCTCCTTTTCTTGGTAAGCGAACCAAAACTCTGCGATAATCAGTTCTCATAACCTTTGGGACCTGGAATTTGAGTTTTTGTGGCAAGGCTTAAGTGCGTGGCAGAGGAAACACCAGCTTCCTTGAAAATAAGCCATAGTTCTAGACTATACTCAGGGCTGGCTAAGTGTAAAGGTTGCTTTGTTGAAAGGGCAGGTATGGGGGTTGGAGAAGAAGAAGGTGGAGGGAGAGGCAGGTAGTACAGCCAATAGACCACGAGAAGCTTGCACAGGAAGAGCCCTGCTGGAATTACTCTTATCAAGGTCTGCGTAAAGAAGACTCCTCCCAACCCTTCTATGCTTTCTGCCTCGGACCAGGGTTATTTTTCAGGCACAGAATAGAATATTGGTACGCCTTATTTAGAAGGAAAAAAAGAGCCCAGACGCTCATATGTTGACGTTGGGCCACCCATTGAGTCTGCTGGTTCAAAGAGAGGATAGGAAGCCTCAAACCTGCTGCAGCCTGACCCATTTTCTTCCTTGGTGTGTTGGCTAGGAATTCTGGGAATTGAAGTCCGTCCAAAGTTGCCAAGTTTGGAAAATACTGCTCTAATTCACTGATCTGTGGGGCAGTAGGAAAGAAACGGACTAATACATCTCTGCTCGCCTGCAGGAGGGCCCATTCGAGTGACGCTTCCCTTGGGATTGACGCTTGAAGGTATCCTACGGAGGAATCCCTATGTAACGAAAGGGGGGCGTTACCGTCCCCCCGACTGTGACGCCACTCACAAAACAGCTGTCATCATTCCCCACCGTAATCGGGAGCAACACCTCAAGTACCTGCTGTATTATTTGCACCCTTTCCTGCAACGACAGCAGCTCAGCTATGGCATCTATATCATCCATCAGGTATGGCATTGGTTCAGTCGGGGGACAAACTCTCCGACATTTGTCAGCACAGTTCTTGAAAGGAGACAAGCGTTCGGGATGAAAGCAAGGAAGTGGGGAGCAGGGATGTGTAGTAGGCAGAGTCGCCACCGTTTTTCCCGTTGTGGAAAACTGGCAGTCGCAGTCTCAGTTCGATGTATGGGCTACACCTATGGCCCAGGATTCTGTGCCTCAGTCAGTGGGAAGGAGGCTGTTCTGATGGAATGTCCACCAGAACATTCCCACCTGGTAATACGGAGGAGGGAGGGAGGACCATTACCAAGAATAGCAATAGCATTTAAACTTATATACTGCTTCACAGCCCTCTCTAAGCAGTTTACAGAGTCAGCCTATTGCCCCCAACAATCTGGGTCCTCATTTTACCGATCTCGGAAGGATGGAAGGCTGAGTCAACTTTGAGCCTGGTGGGATTTGAACTGCTAAATTGCAGGCAGCCAGCAGTCAGCAGAAGTAACCTGCAGTACTGCATTCTAACCACTGCGCTACCACGGCTCTAAAATTCCTTCGTGCTGGGCAGAGAGGAAGTGTGAAAAGGAGATTAATAACTCAGCTTTAATTTTGCTAGGTTCAGCGTTTCTCAACTTTGGCAGCTTTAAAATGTTAGCTGGGGAATTCTGGGTGTTGAAGTTCATACATCTTAAAGCTGCCAAGATTGAGAAACACCGTGCTAGGTATAAGTTAATCTGGAAAATTGCCTTGGCCAGTTTTCTGTCTTACTAGCTGTAAAGATTGTTCTAGAAATCCAACCGTTTCCTGAGTTTTCAGCCTTGAAGGACTTGACAGTTGAAAACAAGCTTTCACCTAAAGTTGTTTGTATAAAATTAGGCCGCAATGAGAAGTAATAGCAGAAGTTTGCAGGAGTTACTCCTCTAAACCCCAAAGTGTGTGAAGCTTTTCTGCTGTGCAGAACTTTTAACAACTTAGTTAAAGAAACTAGAACTAAGCAAGGACTCCAAGGGAAACCCGGAATCAAAATTAAGATTATACATCCAAATTTTAAACAGAGGAGAACTGGGACTAGGAAATGAAAATAAAGGTGTGACCACGATCTAGTACAGTGGTACCAGCGGTGGGTTTCCAATATTCATACCACTGGTTAGCTGCGCGCACGCTCGCTTTGCACGTGCCTTCCATGTATGTGCCCAGCCTTTCGTGCATGCGCTTTGTTCAGCGCACGCCTTCCGCGCATGTGCCTGGCCTCGAAAATGTGACTAAATAGGACAGCATTTGGCCAGGGCAGGTGGGCAGGCCCACCCGTAGTCGCCACTACCGGTTCGCCCGAACCTGTTCGAACCGGCTGAATGCCACCTCTGAGTGGTACCTTGGTACTCAATGTTAATTGATTCTGGGAGGCACAATAAGTACCAAAAATGATGAGTGCCAAACAGATTTTTCCCATAAGGAATAATATAGTGAGTCACAAGGCAACTGACAGTGACAAGTTCTAGCTTGTGTGTTGAGTACTAAACAAATAATGAGTACCGGGACAAAGTTTTCACATCAAAATGCGTTGAGTACCAAATTCAAAGCAGTTGAGTACTAAGGCACCACCTCTTCTAGTTACGTTTGAAGAGAGGAAGGATGATCTGTGTAATCTGGGCTGCGGCCAATAGTGTCAGGCTGTGAAGTGGAATGCCGTAAGCATGAAACTGGTCTAAAATGGCCTGGTTCTTGTGGAAATGTGGCCGATGGATAGGCGGCTGATCTGATAACAATGCCTAATGGCTGTTGCTTTATCCATGCCAATTCTTTGGTTATCCTCTCTTTTCCCAGACTGAAAGTTATACTTTTAATCGGGCCAAGCTTTTGAATGTGGGCTTCAAGGAAGCGATGAAAGACGAGGATTGGGACTGCATATTCTTCCACGATGTAGATCTCATTCCGGAGGATGATCGAAATATTTATACGTGCGATCAATTTCCGAAACATGTGGCTGTTGCCATGGACAAGTTTGGCTACAAGTAAGCTTAAGCTTAAGGCTAGTGATATTTCTTTCCTAAATACGTAGCTGCTTCCCCTTCCCTGTTCTTAATACTCTTTTCAGGGAAAAAATAGGTATTCAGAAAGGGAGCTTTCTTTCAACTTTCCATCTAGAAATAAGGTGCAATTTGAGTGATTAAAACCCTGGGAAACCCTGGGTTTAAATCCTTCCTCAGCCATAGAATTTAGTGGCTGGAAGTCATTGTTTCCCCAGCTTATTTCATTTCTTTCTTTCCTTTTTTTTTTATTTCTTTCCATTTCTATTTTGGAAATAGGGTGCAATTTGAGTGACTTAAGGCCAAGAAAATCTGGGTTTAAAATCCTTGCTCAACCATAAAATGGACCTGCTGGCAGTCATTGTTTCCCAGCTTATTTCTTTTTCTTGTTTCTTTTTTCACTTTATATGGCTTCCCATGAAAATGGATTTTTGACAATCCAGCCCCCAAATTCGGGAACATAGCCGTGAACTCAGGACCTTGCAAAAACACCAATAGAGTGTTAGGGTCAAGCTGATCTCTGCAAGGAGCATGTTCCACAGGGCAGGTACAACAACTGAAAAGGCTCCTCTCCTGGTCCCGCCAGATTACCGTATTTTTCGGAGTATAAGACGCACCAGAGTATAAGATGCACCTACCTTTTTTGGTGAGGAAAAGAAGAAAAAGAAATCTCTGTCTGCTTCTGCCTCTGAGCAATTTTGCCTCGTTACAGCAAACAGCCTGCTTTACTTTCATTTTCGTTTTCAGCATAGCTTGATTAGCACAAGGGGGAAAAAAAAATCTGCTCCAGCAATTTACCTCTTTGCAGCAAGCAGCAGAGTGCAAAACAGCTGAGAGCAAATTAGCTGAGCGTCGGAAGTCCGATCCAATCAACTTGTGCTAATTAGGCTGTGCTGAAGCTGAAAGGAGCTGTTTTTTTCTTGCTGTTTGCTTGCAAGGAGGTAAACTGCTGGGAGGGAGAGGCCAAAGGGTGGGGGCCAGTGGGTGGGCGGGGCTACATTCGGTGTATAAGACACACCTAAATTTTCACCCCCTTTTAGGGGGGGGAAAGGTGCGTCTAATACTCCGAAAAATACGGTATATTCCTTAGCCGCTAGATCTGTAAAGTGCCTCTTCTTCCAGATCTAATAGGCGGGTGAGGCAGTCTCACGAATGCTCACCAACTCCTTCATTTGCAACCAGAAAAATACCGGCAACCAGTGCAGCTTGCAGAGCCATGTACGCCGAGGGCCTCTCGAAACTGCCTGCGCTACCATATTTTGAACCAGCCGCAGTTTCTAGATTGTTAAATTGGTGGCATAGGAACCATCAGTAGAGCCTTGAACTCTAGAGGAAAAGTGATGAAAACAACGCCTCGTTAGATGGGAAATCTTATTGACTATATTGGCTTGTCTGATTAGCAGAGAGGAAAGGCAGCTGCTTTCCATCAAACAAGCGGAGGAGGGAACTTTTAGATGTCCTGGAATAAGGAGTATCAGCCTATCCATTTTACGATCAATCTCAAAATAGGGAAACACTCAGGTGCTGTCTACGATTGGTAGCGTATGATGAGACTGTCTCGAAAGCCCCAAATGGTACAAATGCAAGGCCTTTCCCTTTTATCCGTGTGGTGGGAACCAGCTCTCAATGAACTTTCTCGCTAACAAAATTGTGAGCTGGGATAGGAATGTCAGCCCCACAGTTTTCTGTGCCCGTTTTAAGTTTTCAGAACTATTCTGCTTGTTGCACGGATCCTGCCTCTTGTACGCAAATGTTCTCCTTCACCGTTCTTCTTGGCAGGCTTCCCTACAAGACGTATTTTGGAGGGGTTTCGGCACTTAGTCCAGAGCAATATATGAAGATGAACGGATTTCCTAACAACTACTGGGGCTGGGGTGGTGAAGATGATGACATCGCCGTCAGGTATGACTTTTATTGACAGGTCCATTGCAATCTGGGCTGGAAGCAATTAGTCCAAGGAAGGACAATAGCAATAGCACTTAGACTTATATACCGCTTTACAGCTCTCTCTAAGCAGTTTACAGAGTCAAGCCTATTGCCCCTAACAATCTGGGTCCTCATTTTTCCCACCTCGGAAGGATGGAAGGATGGAAGGCTGAGTCAACCTTGAGCCTGGTGAGATTTGAACTGCCAAATTGCAGGCAGCCGGCAGTCAGCAGAAGTAGCCTGCAGTACTGCACTCTAACCACTGTGCCACCGTGGCTCAATCCCCAGCCACTCATTAATCGTCTGCATTAAGAAGTCAGTAAAAGAGATGTATTCCTACTTTCACGTGAGACTCCTTTACGTAGGCAATTAAGGCAGCAAATAGAATAGAATAACAAAGTTGGAAGGGACCTTCTAGTCCAACCCCCTGCTTAGGCAGGAAACCCTACACCACTTCAGACAAATGGTTATCCAACATCTTCTTAAAAACTTCCAGTGTTGGAGCATTCACAACTTCTGGAGGCAAGTTGTTCCACTGATTAATTGTTCTATCAGGAAATTTCTCCTTAGTTCTAAGTTGCTTCTCTCCTTGGTTAGTTTCCACCCACTGCTTCTTGTCTTGCCCTCAGATGCTTTGGACAATAGCTTGACCTGATCCCCTCTTCTTTGTGGCAGCCCAGGGGTGAAATCCAGCAGGTTCTGACAGGTTCTGGAGAACCGGTAGCAGAAATTTTGAGTAGTTCGGAGAATTGGCAAATACCACCTCTGGCTGGTCCCAGAGTGGGGTGGGAATGGACATTTTGCAATATCCTTCCCCCAGGAGTAGGGAAGGAATGGGGATTTTGCAGTATCCTTCCCCTGTCAAGCCCACCAAGTCACGCCCACAGAACCGGTAGTAAAAAAAAAAATGAATTCCACCACTGTGGCAGCCCGAGATATTGAAACACTTGTGTTTGTCTGTTTGTTTTGTCTGTTTGCTCCCATTCTTCCTATGCAGGTTAAAAAGCCAGTTTCCATCTGGAGTGTGGTAATGGGGCAATCCCTTGACTATATCTTTGATTCTAGAAGCAGCCATGCCTGTTGCGATCACTTGCTAGCTTCTGCTAATATTTATCCTCCCTCTCCTGCAGGGTAGCCCTAAGTGGAATGGTGATCTCTCGCCCGTCTATTCAGTATGGCCGTTATCGCATGATCAAACATGGACACGACAAGGGCAATGAACAGAATCCCAAGAGGTGAGCAGAAAGAAATATTTAAGAAGGATTTGTAGACGGAAACTGCTCCTGCCATCAAGTGCAGTTCACGTGTTCCATACTATTCCCCCTCTTCTTTTTCTTTTCTTCTGTCATTCTTCTGTCCATAACAGCCATGACATTTGCAAAATCTTCTGGGCCTGGATATAGACCCACTATAGGTACCACTATATAGGTACCACACTATAAGAGACGCAGTGGCTCAGTGGCTAAGACGCTGAGCTTGTCGATTGAAAGGTCAGCAATTCAGCGGTTCGAATCCCTAGTGCCACGTAATGAGGGTGAACTCCCGTTACTTGTCCCAGCTTCTGCCAACCTAGCAGTTCGAAAGCACGTAAAAAATGCAAGTAGAAAAATAGGGACCACCTTTGGTGGGAAGGTAACAGCGTTCCGTGCACCTTTGGCGTTTAGTCATGCCGGCCACATGACCACAGAGACGTCTTTGGACAGCGCTGGCTCTTCGGCTTTGAAACAGAGATGAGCACCGGCCCCTAGAGTCGGGAACGACTAGTACATATTGCAAGGGGAACCTTTACCTTTACCTTATAGGTACCACTGTGAGTAACTTTCAGAGAACAATTTTGTTGTGTAGATGTAGCAGTCAAGTGAACTGGTCAGTTGCTCATTTATTCTCAAATCCGTGCTCTCTAATGGGAAGTTGTCAGCGTGTCGAGGATTGAAGTATTGCATAAGGATAAACTGACACCGTGAAGAAATCTGCAGAAAAATGGAAGGGCAAGGAAGTAGAGTGTAGTCAAGACTCACAGACAGATGTTTTTCAACAGTCTCCCTTGATTGTTAATATATTTCTTGCTGAACAGACCTTGCCAGAATGCTTTTCTTCTGCAAAATAATATGGACTAGAAACCTATAGCCTTTAGAAGAGCAAATGTAAAACTAAGTAAATTTAAAACTTTCATCTTCCTTGTCTGTTCTGTCTATAGTAATAGAATTGGTAGTAATCATCTATCTGTCAGGTTCTAAAAGCAGTAACCCTATAGCCATCTTTCTGTGTCCTTTGCGATGTGGAAGAGTCCCTTCTATCTATAGGTCCGGTTTGTTGTTTTGCCCCAGTTACTTTCCCTCTTCAGTTCTTTGTCTGTACCAATAAAGGTAATCCTTGTTTAGTGACTGCCTAGTCTAGTGATTGTTCACAGTTATAGCAATAGCACTTAGACTTATATACCGCTTCACAGTGCTTTACAGCCCTTTCTAAGCGGTTTAGAGTCAGCCTATTGCCCCCAACAATCCAGGTTCTCATTTTACTGACCTTGGAAGGATGGAAGGCTGAGTCAACCTTGAGCTGGTCAGGATCGAACTCCTGGCTGTGGGCAGAGTTAGCCTGCAATACTGCATTCTAACCACTGCGCCACCACGGCTCAGTGATAATACAGTGATGATACAGTTACAATGGTAAGAAAACAGTAACTTTATGACTAATCCTCACATTTACAATCTTTTATGGGTCTAAAAAAAAAAAAAGTAAAGCTGAAAAAAGATAAACAGTCATGGTTTCACCTAGTGACCACATCATTTAAATGACTGAGTTGCCAGTCCCAATTATGGTCACTTAACGAGGACTACCTGTACCAATTCTCCCATTTCCTAGCCACCGATTCCTGTATCCCTCACTCCTTTCCTTCTTTGTTCCTTAACTCCAGCTGCGATCTGTTTTCAGATCAAGAACAGTTGTCTTTGGAGGCGGGCAGGGAAATACTGACATGACTGTTTCCGGATTTATTGCTTAAAATGAACGCTTCTGTTCCTGCCTTTTCTTGCAAACTGTTAAAAGCCTTAGGAATTTGTGATAGAGGATGCATAAAGCTTCTTAATTTGTAAATACGGGAAGCTCTTAGAAGTCATAGAATCATAGGGCTGGAGGGGACCTTGGAGGTCTTCTACTCCAACCCCCTGCTCAAGGCAAGAGACCTTATGTCAAACGGCTGTCCAGTCTTCTTGGGGAGAGAGGAGGAGAAGCTTAAGGCCGTGATGACGAACCTATGGTTCGCATGCCACAAGTGGCATGTGGAGCCATTTCTGCGGGCACGCGAGTCGTCGCCCTAGATCAGCTCCACCGTGCATGCACACGCGCTTCCCGCAGGCCAGCTGATTTTCGGGTCTCTGCTGCGCCTGTGGGAGACACACGCGCATGCCCATGCCGCCCCTCCCCTCACAGGAGTCTCCACGTGGCCCATTTTGGATGCCAGTAAGTAGAGGTCTCACATGGAGGCCTGGAAGGGTGAAAAATGGGCCTACCGGAAATCCAGAAACAGTCCGTTTCTAGGCTCTGGAGGGCCGGGGGAGGCCATTTTCACCCTCCCGGAGGCTCCAAGACAGCTTCCAGAGCCTGAGGAGGGCAAAAAACAGGCCTCCCGGAAGTCCGGAAACAGGGTGTTTCCGGCCTCCGGAAGGCCAGGGGAGGCTGTTTTCACCCTCCTGGACGTTCCAGGAAAGCTCCGGAGCCTCCAGAACCTGGAAAGGGAGAAAAAACAGGCTTACCGGAAGTCTGGAAACAGGCTGTTTCTGGCCTCCAGAGGCTTCAGGGAGGCCTGCTAGGCCCAAAATGGTGTGTGTGTGTGTGTGTGTGTGTGTGTGTGTGTGTGGTCCCACATGCATGCGCGGGAGGGTGGGGGAGTGCGGGGGGGGTTTCCACACACCTGTGCAAGGGGGTTGCACACGCATGTGCGGGGGGGGGGCGTGCCAAGGGGGCACTGCATTATGGGTGTAGGCACGCGCGTGCACTTTTAACACCCGAGGAAAAAAATATTAGCCATTACTGAGCTAAGGCATCAATTCTTCCCAATGTCTCCTGCAGATTTAACTTGCTGGCCAAGACGAGGAGAACCTGGAAACAAGACGGCATGAACACCCTGGAGTATCAGCTGCTCTCCAAGGAACTCCACCCTCTCTACACCAACATCACTGTGTTCATTGGGACTGAGAAGGGCATGCGGCACACCACATGATGCATATCCGACAAGAGTGGCACGGGGACAGGAGCCCCACCCCGTCACTGCTTCCGGAAGGACGAAACCAAAGATTCCAGCGAGGAATATCTTGCCCAGAGTTGAGTGGCTGTATCATATTCTGACTGCCGAGTCCAGCCAGGGTGCAAATGAGGATTTTACACAGCCCCACCCACCCCACCCCTTTACCCCAGGTTTGGGCCTTTTTAACCCTGGGGATCGAGGTGGGTTCTGACCTTTTCCTGGGATGCCTTCTGAACCTTGGCTGGAGGAGCGGCGCTGAAGTCACGCGGGGCTCCCTTAAGCAATCCGAATTTTCAGAGCTGTTGTGCCAGAGTTGGCTTTTTTCTTATTAAAGTGCAATTTATTTTAAACGTAATGGCCAAGTGAGTGGCAGTTTATTTATTTTTTCCCTATTATTATTATTATTATTATTATTATTATTATTATTATTATTATTATTTTATTAATTATTATTATTATTATTCGTATTTCTATGCCGTCCACTCTCCGAGGACTCTGGGCGGCTTCCACCAAAGAGAGTATACTAAATAGCATATTGCCCCCCACAATCTGGGTCCTCATTTTACCCACCTCGGAAGGATGGAAGGCTGAGTCAACCTTGAGCCAGTGAGATTTGATCCACTGATCTGCTGAACTAGCAGTCAGCTGAAGTAGCTGCAGTACTGCACCCTAACCACTGCGCCACCTTGGCTCATTCCCCCCCCCCCAAAAAAAAATCCCTCTGGAGTCTGGTTCTAGAAGGAAATGATTGAGAGTCAGATCTCCTGAATGAGTGGTACTCTTTGCCAGGAGAGAAGCTAGAGGCTGCGTTCGGCTAGAAGGCGAGAGACCTTGGATGAGAGCCAGCACTAGTGGCTCCGTTTGTGGAGCTGACTGCAAGTTGACACATTAACCTAGGGGTAGTTTCTGCTGAAGCGAGAGCCTAAGTGGTGCTAGAGGAGGAGTAGGCTTGCTTGTATACCTTGAGTAGGGTCTAGATCAGTGTTTCTCAACCTCGACGACTTTATGTGGACCATGCTGGCTGGGGTATTCTGGGAGTTGGAAGTCCACCCATTTTAAAATGGCTAAGGTTGAGAAATACTAGTCTAGATGAGCACGATAAAAATTAAATTAGCTTCAGCTTATTGGGGGGTTGCAAATACTGTGGCTCAGAAAACACCTTCGTTTTTCATTCATCTGTTACTTTGCTGCATATGGCACTCTGGTTTGGTTTTACTATTTTCAGAAATATACTTTTTCGAGAGGCAACTGGATTTTCTGGTTTTTGTTTTTCCCTTGGAAGACATTTCGCTTCTCATTCAAGAAGCTTCTTCAGCTCTGTCCCTGAAAAAGAGCTGAAGAGGCTTCTTGGCTGAGAAGCGAAAAAACATCTTCAAAGGAAAAAACAAAAACCAGAAAGTCCAGTTGCCTCTTGAAAAAGCACCTTTGGGACAACCAGGACCTGGATGTCTGAGAATCTCCATAAACATTCAGACGGTAAGTTTCAAAGGAGTCTGGCCAGTTCTGAGTTCACATAAATAAGAGTCTGGTCAAACATGCAGGATATCTACAGTTTGTAACTTGGCAAATGGATACTCAGCAATTTTTTTTTTTTAAAAAAAATTTTTCTAGCTTTTGTCATCTGAGTTAACTCCGTTTGTTCTGTCACCCTTGAAAACGAGCGAATAGGCCCGTTTGCACTTCCCAAGGGAGTGGGTGGCAATAATCTTGCACTGCAGACTTCCATCTGTTACCATTTCGTGGCCACCTTCAATTTTTTCTCTCTTCTGCTGCTAACAGATTACGGATTTTTTTTTTTCCTTTTCAAAAACTGCCTCGCAATGAACACAGCAGCGACCTTTATGAATAGATTTGTATTTTTAGCATTTTTCAGTTATGCAAAAAAAACCCTCTGCAGGTCAGATTTGACAAGAGGACCTTGTACTTACTCAGAAGACCAAAGATCGATCTAGACCAGCAGATACACCAGTCGGGGCACAAAGACCATATATGATCCAGGTACTGAAGTAAGAGAGAACCAAGAGAGAGGGATGCCTTTTCTGTCATAGTTGGAGCAGCATGGCAGCAGTCTGAATTCTGTTAGCTCTATAGCAGGGCTCCCCAACCCCTGGCCCGTGGACCGGCACTGGGCTGTGGCATGCCAGAAACTGGGCCGTGTGAACAAGCGAAGCCCCATCCATGGGATGCAGGTAGCACGTGAAATCACACCCCCTCTGTTCCACGGAAAAGCTCTCCATGGAACCGGTTCCTGGTGCCCAAAAGGTTGGGGACCACTGCTCTATAGCACGACAGGAGCAAATTCACTATCCTAAGTGACTTCCGTGATGTTTACATATTTATTTTCAAAAAGGAAAAACTTGTTTTTTTAAAAAAAATGAACAGACAGCTTAAAAGGAAGCTGAACAAAGTCAGGAAATCAAAAGAGAAACTTGGGATATAATCTGTACTTCAAAATAGGGAAGTTTGAAAAGATACCAAGTGTGATGAATAAGCTCATCAAGGAAGCAATAAAACTTCAGAAAACTTCCTTCAGAAAACAACGGTATTACTCAAATTTGAGGGCGTAGGAGGGAATAATCTGGTGCAAGAAATGTAATTTGGTGGCTAGGGAAATGGGGAAAAATCTCTGGGGAATACTGCCAGCATAAAGACTTAACAGGAAGTTGTGGTTCGAATCCTGGACTGAGCCAATCCTGGCTTGCTTTACTCTGGGTTAAAGGGTTTTGTGAACACAGTGTCTTGTGTTTTAAGTGCCCTTAAAAAATACAGCCAGAGACCCTTTCGGACTCCTAAATGGCAAGTTAGATAGACAGTTGAGAAACAAATTTCCTCAACTCTCTTCACTCTTCACCATTTCTTATCAGACCTTTTCAGGATGGAGTTTGGAAAAAAATGGTGGTGAATAAAGGGTGGAGATGTGTTAATATGTACTGATCTTTAACAAAACATTCAGCCCAAATATCCATGCTGCTTCTATCGGTTATTGTTTATTGCAGATGGAAATTGGAAAGTAACCAATGGTTACCAACGATCCCTTAAAAAAAGAAACGGCATGTTAAAATTAACACAGCAAGTTTTGCTAAAGAATGATAGTTGCTTCTGCAAAGACAACTTCTACCTTGCTCTTCTTTGCTTTTAAATGTTTTGACCGTATAAAATAAGCATGTGGTTCAGAAGATTGAAAGCTCCTGTGGAAATGCTGCTTGCTCATGGGACAACATGATTAAACCACCTAAGGTGCTTACAAGCAGCAGGCAGAAATAAACATAGGAAAGGGAAACCTGCAAATGTCACTATTAAGGTAACACGTTCTAATCTAAGCAAGTTTGAAATTGGAGGGATGAGGTAGCCATGCCAATTAAAAACTCCTGCCCTGCTATCTTTTCATACCAATGCATCGTTCCCAATACGTTATGTACAGGTAATCCTCAATTTACAACCATTCATTTAGTAACAGTTCAAAGTTACAACATTACTGAAAAAGGGGATTTAGGATTGGTCCTTGCACTTACAACCATCACAGCATCTCGTCATGTGACCAAAATTCAGTCACTTGGCAACCAGCATGTGTTTACGATGCTTGTAGCTTCCCGGGGGTGTGTGTCATGTGATCATTTGGGACCTTCCTAGCCAGCTTTTAACAAAGCAAAATCAATGCTGGAAGCCAGATTAGCTTAATGACCACGATTCACTTAATGTCTGCAGTCATTTTTTTCCCCTTCACTGTGGCAAAAATGGTTGTAAAATCAGGCACGCCTCACTTAATCACTTAGCCAACAGAAATTCAGGTCCCAACTGTAGCCGTAAGTCAATGACTACTTGCACACTGACTTGCAAGTTCACTTGCTGATTGTAACCCAAGATCTCTGCGTTGTTGTGGGCATTTCAAATAAAAATGTCTTATTGATTGGGGAAGAAACTGAAAAAACTGCCAGAAATGACACACACATTTAAAGAATAAGTTAACGCCCCACAAAGTTCTGGTAGGCTGCTTTGTGTCTATACAAATCGGGTATCTCCGTTAGGAGGAGCACCGACTTGTTTTTATTCATGCCCTCCCAAGAAAAAACATCTCCCAATCCCAAACAAGCCAAATCCACACTACTATCACCAGAATAGGGGAAGGAGAAGAAATTAATTGGAAAAGAATTCTCCACCACTCCCCTGTTCGAAATGCATGGAAGTTAACAGAACCCTTAATTTGGTAGCAGGGGTTGATTGCTGCTAAAAACAGACGTGGGGAAGGAAAGTCAGATTTCCCCCACCAAGCAATGTGCATTGGTTTTTCCCTCTGACTTGCAGAAGAAACTGGGTGATGATGGAATGTCCACTGGGAGGACAGCTTTCCAAACTGGCCTAGCTATGGCTAGGCTGTATTGAGCTCGATAAATTAATAGCTATTATTAGGCTGTGTTGAGACTATTACTCCAATTAGCTCATTATCTAGGCAGATATTTTTCTGTACTCCTTTAATAATGTATATAATCCATTTTCTCAACTCCCCAAATGCACTGGTGCAAAATATTATCAAAGATTACCGCATTTGAGCTGATTTGGCCCAGGAAGCAAGTTGTAGATTTCATGGCTTAGCTAAATAAACTTACTTAAAGGGAGGGAAAGGTGATAGAGGAATAAATACCCACATCTCAGGGTGTGAGCCTATAAGGATACATGGCAGTTGTTCTTACAGCTCTATTGTCAAGACATTAGATTGAAGTAGAAAAAAGTAGCACACATTATATCATCCTAGGCCGTGTATTGCGTAGAAATTATTAACTGGAAGAGAACCTGGGGCTGTCAAAAACACGGGGATCAGAAGTGTGTGTGTGTGTGTGTGTGTGTGTGTGTGTGTGTGTGTGTGAGAAGTTTGATTTTTTTCCCCATGAAAAACCTGCTTGTGATTAAACTAATCACATTTTCATGTAATATCCTCAGAATGAAAAGAACATTATATTAGCGACCACAGCAATACATCAAGAGTAACGATAGCGGAGTCCAACATGTGGAATTCTGTATTTTCACTGTATATAATCAGACAAGACTAGAAGTTGGAAAGAGAAAATCAAGCTAACCCAATCAAAACAGTAATTATCTCAAACACACACCCTGAAACACCGGGGATGTCACCCATTAGTCAAAATGGTGAATTAAAAATGAAGGGACTTGAGCAGATTAGACATTAATATCCTCAGCAACCCTATATATAGGCTATGATTTGTACAAGCTAGGCAAATTGCAAATTTCCATTTTCTTCCCTATTTGTCACTTTGAGGTACAAGATGGTAAAATAGCTCTCCTCAAGAACCAAAAATACGCTATTATTTTTGTTACCTATTCACCAAAGCAAAATACAGGTCTCATGGCATAAACCCAGTGGGGATCTACAGTGAAAGACTGACAAGGTAGATGGTGTGTGACTGGTTAACCCAACATGCTACCCTTAATCCAAATCTAAACAAATCATATTATGACTTAGTACAATGTATGAACCTCTTCTATGCTTTTAGCAATTCCTTGCCTTTAACCATATCAGCCCAGGGGAAGTAACAGCCCTATTATCACTTTTTAAATCCAAATGGTTTTTAAAAACCCGTGTCAAGTTTATGCTACAAGTCGTCCTGCTTACCTGAATTAACTTTATAGTGTTAGGGATTGTATTTACAGCAGCTTTTATCCCCCACCACTCTAATTTGATCTTGCTTAAAACCAATCTCCATTGTCATTTTTAAAATCCCCCAATTAAAAATCGGGCATGAACCCTCGGGCCTAATCCAGGTAATTTGCAATTAAACCACTGAAACAGGAAAGTCCACGTTTCCTTTGGTTTCCATTACTTTTTCTTAGATTTATATCTAACTGGAATGAACAGACTTTTTTTTTTTGCAATGACAACCTTTCCTTGGGTGGGGTAAGTTAAAATTCAAGAAAATTAAAAATCTACAGAACCGAGAAATCGTTTCCTTCCGTTGTGCACCTGCACGCACTACATACTGTTGCGGTTCCTCGTTTCAGCTTGTGAAATATTTGTTAAAACACAGCACAAGAACTGTATTTGCAGTTACAGCTACCCTGTGGCAACTAGCATTTCAGGTAATCGGTACCAAGATAATCACATAAGAGGCAAGTTGCAGAAGATGAAAAACTACTTCCTTCCTTTGTAAATTGTGTGCATCTCGAAGAATATAGATGGATGGATGACAAAGGTGTGAAAATGTGAACTCCATGGTGGGGAGGGAGAGACAACAGGTAGGCAAGCAAGAACACAGAATCCTTTGATGCTCATTTCTAAACATTTATCATTTAAGGAGGGCTTGCTAGCTAACAATACATTCCCAAGTTTAGCTTAAATTCTAACTAACGTCAGCTCAGAATCAGCATCCAAAACTGCAGGGGGTGTGCAACTTTTGTGATGCTTGTTGCTGAGTGGCAGTGCCTGAGGGTTCCGTTTCCAGCAGAAAGTTCTTCGCACAAGTATCAATGAGCGCCAATTTAATTTTTTTTTTAATCCACTGTGAAATTGTTCTCGAGTACGGCTGTGACTTTTCTTCCCAGTTAAGACTTGCCTATAGCTATCGGTGTCTCCATAGCCCTCCTCCCTAACTGGCTATCTATGCCACTCCACCTCTGCAGTAATACGTCTTTCCAATTTCTTTTAAGTAGCAGCAACCTGTGCAAGGTTATGTACCTTGTTGTAAATAACACAACAAAGCCTTGCAGCCTTGAGAAAACTTAAATACCGTAAACCTGTGTCGATGGCGAAGTATGCTTTGTTCCAGCTTTCTCTAGGTGGCAATGGACACTTGCAGGAAACACTGCAGCGCCCTTGCTCCAACCGATCCGAAACCTAATGAGCTGCCTCCTTACTTCAACCAGGCCTGTTTGCACTTTTAAAGCTAGCCTTTATGGCAGATTTTCAGGAAACTGGATCCTAATATCAAATGTCAAGCTACAACGTACCTGTGTGTTATGTGTAATGACAGCTAAGCGCAAGGCTAATATAAACACAGAGTGTGAAACCTGTAGCTCTCCGGATATTGCTAAATTAGAACTGTCATTAATCTCTGGACATAATGGCTGAAAGCCCATGGGATGGGAACGTCACAAGTTTCTTAACCCTGATCCACTGGAATGAGTTTCTAGACTAAAAAAGGCTGTGCGCCATAGACAAAAGCCACATTCAACCACTTGGTATTTCCACTGAGGCATCACCTTTGGTCTGACTTTAGCCAGGCCTGGAACTATGTGTCCTGCACTAGAGAACAAAGAGGCGAACACCTCGTTCCAGAGCAATCTGCTGGTGCTACAATACTAACACAAAACATCTCTAACTCTGGTCAGACACTAGCACTTTTCTTGACTGCATAGTATGATAGCACTAAGCACCTGGTGAGTAACAAGAAGCAAGTGGAAAGTGGAGATCTGTTCTCCAGGAGACCTTTGGCCTTGGTGCATCGGTTTCTTGCCTATCCAACAGGGAAAGGGAGGGAATGGGAGGGGGAGGGGGAGGGGGGAATACCCATATGAAGTTAATATATTGGTGCATGCTTGGGTGCTAAGGTTAAGGACCAATCTCAAGTGACAATGAATAGTGATATCGGGTCACATCCCTCATTCTCTGCACAGCTTCCAAACTTCCTATTCAAGAAAGCAGAATCAGACGACTGTGCAAAGATGCAAGAGCTCAAGTAAGGCAGAGTTAACAGTTCACAGCCATGGTCCAGCTCAGGTCCCACTTTGCCACCTTTCCTAAGGTAGCCTGGCACGTGTGGTTCCACCCAAGGATGTCAGAGCACAGACCTAGGCACTATCCCCTGGCATACACATAACAAGAGGCAGGTCCAAGATGGCTGCGCATGAGTCAGCATAAACATTCGCTGGTTGGGGCAACCCTTTATTTCCAAGCAGGGAGGGAGTTTTAGCAGCAATTCCCACGGGACCACACAGGCCACCAAGCCCATCAGTCCATGTAGTGCACAGGAGTCTGTCTGTCCGTCCAAGCACAGGATGTTGAAATCTCTCGCACCAGGGAAGGGAATGGCTGGCAGGCCACATGTCGCTGAGTGAATCAAGAGGGGCTGTGGCCAGGAAGGACCGCATGTCAGAGAAAGCACTGACTGAAAAGGGGAAGGCAGCATCCAGTTTGCAAGGGCGGCAGGATGCTGGCTCCACATGCTTCCCCCTCTCAAATCCCCCCTCCCTCCCGCGTTCCCACCCCATAATGCTTACCACTGGCAGCAGGGTCCTGGGTAGTAGCAGGACCTGGTCTCCAGACTGGCCATAGCCAGGCAACCTGACCCATCCCACCCCAAGTCCTGGCCCACTCAGATTCTCGCATGTGGAGAAGTGCTCTATGGGCACTAGTTCCCTGCCCTACAGTTAGTCCCGGCCCGTCCAGGCTCTGGTGCAACAAAGGAGTGCTCTCGCTGGGCACCGGCTCCTAGCCTGCCGGGCCAGTCCATCATCAGGAGCTGGCAGCTGTGCCCTGGGGCACACAGACGCCCATCAGTGCAGTCTCGTCAGTGTCTCGGTGCCCACGGCCACGAAGTGGATAGTTGAGGCCAAGTCCCTCAGGGCGTGAGCCGCCAGCAGTCCTAGTCCGGAAGGCCGAGGCGCCCAAGTGCAAGCCGGAGGAGCCCAGCCCAGTGGGGTTGCAGTCCAGATGGCGAGGGCCCAGAGACACCTCCATGGCCTCCGGGAGTGGAGGAGATAGCGGGAGTGGAGGGCGCTGGTACGGAGGGTGCCCGCTCGGGGGGAAACATGGCATGGCCTGACTAGGTGTGGGCTTATGAGGTAAGATGTGAGGAATACCCTCGTTGTCACCGCTGGCCCAGAGACGCATCTGCTGCTGAGGAAGCGCCTACAGGAAAACAAGAGAAAAGAGGGATCATTACAGAATGGTTGGACACAGGAAGGGGGTAGCGTTGTTACTTTTAGGACTAGGGTTTCAGAGAAGACCTGCAGCCTTAAATGGCTGGGGCTTGGCATCCAACATACCTGGGGACTCTGCATCTCACAGTCAGCATGCACTGTGCCCATGTTGCTGTAGTAACGATTGCTGTAGCGGTAACCACGGTTGTCATTGGAAGAACCACTGGAACCACCTGTGCGAAAACAGGACAATGGAGAACGGAATACTCACCAGATGGGCTAGTATGAACTCCCCGAGCTGAAGATGGAAAGGAGTGCTGGGGACATAAGGGGAGGAGGAGAGCTAGAAAGAAGGGGAGGGGAGGGGAAGGGAATGAGAGATACATACCCGAACTGGACACAGAACTGGTGGTGCTGGTTGAGTGGCTATGCTCTGTTCCCAGGCTTGGAGAGGTGCTGGCACTCGTATTGGTGCCCTCATCAGCAGTTTTCTTGAAAAAGTTATGCTGCAGGGCATAGAAGGGAGTGATGCGGCTACGGGGTTCATAGTCCAGCATGCGCAGCACTAAATCCTTGAACTTCAGGTAATCAGAAGGCGAATGGCCCTGCTCTCCTGAACGGCGTCCGCCTGGGCCCCCACTCTCTACCCCTAATACTTCATGCAGCCGCCGTGTCCCTGGAACCTTGTAGTCCTAAAAGAGATCAAGCAGCAGGAAAATTAATGGAAAGTTGGAGAGAATATGCAATATTCATTACTGTACAGAATCAAAATGTTTTCTTTTAACCTAAGTTCCAACAGAAATAATGTCCTTGTCTCCTTCAAGCAAAAGGCTTAACATGACCCTAAAAGCCAACCCAAAGAACAGCATGATGGCTATTCCTCAGCTTAGCATTTCTGAAGTTGTTTCCCATACCCCCTTTTGCATGCAAGAAGTCCGAAGGAAAAAAAGACTAGAATGTGAGCAGAAAGAGAGCAGAGAAAAGATTTAATCAGCACAGTCCGTGTATTTTCTTCCCCTTACTTTAGATAGTGCTCTACAGGAAACCCATTTCTTCAGTGTTCACCTTTAATAAGGTATATTAGAGCGGACTTACAAATATTATTATCATCCTCACTTGAGGTGCACTGATCTAATATAGCAGGTAGACCTTTACTGCAGTTGTCTACATTTTCTTGAAAGGCAGCAGAACCCCCCCCAAGACCCAAGAGTTGCGCAGAGTTATTACCTTCCTGCCATCTTTGCCCCGCCGGAGGACCCAGCCCCCCTCGGGCAGCTTCTCAAAGTATTTCCGAGCCTTGGGAGCCTGCTCCAACATGTGAGGTGGTGGCAGTCCCAGCACCTCCACAATCCGGCTCATTTGATCCGCCTGCAAGAGAAAAGGGATCACAGGATCAGGGGCAGCAGGTGACAGCCACAACTTAACATTTTAACAGTAACAGAGTTGGAAGGGACCTTGAAGGTCATCTAGTCCAATCCCCCTGCTCACCCAGGAGACCTGAACTACGGATTCGAACCTCCAACCTTTCTGATCGACAAGCTCAGTGTCTTAGCCCCCGATATGAATTTCTGATCTCCTTATTTCTTCAATGACCTCTGGGATCCACCTATAGGCTTACTGACTTAGAAAACTGGTCATGGTGCTCAGACACATCCAGTATTTTCAACTCAAAATAACAGAGATTTTCGCTAAGCTCCCTGACGAGGGACTGGTGGCCCTCCCAACACAGTTCCAATTCCAGTTGCTGTTGAGTTGTTTTTTTGATCTGTCAAGACCACTTTACCTCATTGGCACCACTAAAGAGGGGCTCTCCTGTATGCATCTCCACCAGAATACAGCCTAAGGACCACATGTCGATTGCCAGGTCATAAGGCATGCCTAGCAGCACTTCGGGCGAGCGGTAAAATCGGCTCTGGATATACTGATAGATCTGCAAGGTCAAAGATAAAGAGATGATCAAACATCTGTACTGAGAGTATTGAAAAGTCAAAGCAGATGCAATTCTTCTCTGTGGTTCTCTTGTCAAATGGTTACCGAATCAAACGAACTCCCAACTAGGCAAGGTCAAAATGCTGAAGATCTGAGAATGAGGAGACCTCTTCAAGCTCAAAATGTGCCAAGGTGAGCCAACGGAAAGGCGTGGGATCAAGCCCCGGGAGACAGTTTCATGGGGCAGGTTAGAGCTAGAGCAGGGGTCACCAGCCTTTCGGACCTCAGGGACCCCTAAATTCATAATTTTAAATCCCACAGACCACTAATATGATCTGCCTAATGACCAGCTGGGTAGGTGTGGCTAGGTGGTAATGTGACTGGGTGGGTGTAGCCAACTTGATGTCACTCAGGTCGAGGGGCACCTCGCCAGCCTCTACTCACCCCTCCCCTCTCAGCCACTCCTCGCCTCCCTGCCCAGGCTCCTTAGGGCCCCAACAGGAAGCAGTTGTTGGAGCTAAGCAGCCACCACGAGAAAGGGTTGGCAAAACAGTTCAGTTCAAATTGGATCTGACCGAGAAGGAGGCTCAGTAGAAGAACCTCACCGAGGACTACGAGCATAGGCTTTCCAAGCAGAGGGAAGATCTGTGGGAGTGCAAGGCCAGGTACTGGTGCCTGGAGGCTCAGTGGACTGAGATAGTCAGCCAGTTCCAGGCTTCCAGCTTCTTGCCACCAGCGGCACTTCCCTCCAGCCTTCGCCCAAAGCCCGGCACCAGGAGGCCAAAGCAGACCCCAAGTTGGAATTTCTGTCCTCCTCCTACCCACACAAAAAGACCCCGAAAGGGGAGACTCTCTACAGCAACACAAACGTTCATCACACGTATCTGTCTCAGGGGCCGTAGTTTGAGTACCCCTGATTTAGTGCAATATAAAAATTGCATATAATTTTTCTGCAGACCACCAAAATTTTCTCGCGGACTACCAGTTGTCCACAGACCACCAGTTAGTAACTGCTGAGCTAGAGAGTCACTTACACGCTGGCCCAACTGGCAGGAGCTGCCGAAGTCCACGATTTTAATGGCACTGCGTTTGGGGTTGCAGAGCAGGATGTTTTCAGGCTTGAGATCACAGTGGATGATGCTGAGTTCAGGTGTTGCCAGGAAGAGCAGCGCAGTGCACAGCTGCTGAGCAAACTTGCGAGTGAGATTGAGAGAGACGCCACGGAAGTTGGTGTTACGAAGCAGGTCATAGAGGTTGTAGGACAGCAACTCAAACACCAGGCACAAATGGCTCCGGAACATGAAATGACGCTTCAAGTGCACTGAGGACGTAAAGAGAGCAAAGTGGTATGACAATACTGGTCAGCCTGCTACAACTCTGTTATTGTTTTGACAGTATCCCACTGAAAGAACCTGGTTTATAAAGTACTTGTGTTCAGTACATAAATAAATACCATCTCACTGACAAATTTGTCTCTAGAGTATGAGGTCCCCAAATCCCAGAACACACACTAGTACTTGTCCGTGGCCTGTTAGGAACCAGGTCACACAGATGGAGGTGAACGGTAGGCGAGCAGACAAAGCTTCATCTGTATTTGCAGCTGCTTCCCAGCGCTACCATCACAGCCTCAGCTCTATCTCATAGGAGTGCGAACCATACTGTAAATTGTGCATGCAAGGGATCTAAGTTGCACGCTCCTCCTCCCTCCACCCCCATCAGTGGAAAAATTATCTTTCACGAAACCAGTCCACAGTGGCAAAAGATTGGGCACTGCTGCTCTAGAGTATCATGCCAGTGAAATCCTGTTTTATCAAAAAGTATGCTGTTGGCCACTTCTCTCCATCCTGTCTTTAATTAACTCCTCCAATGCATGAAAACTTCTCATCAATCTCCAGTCCCGGCTACATCTTATTTAATGTTTCTCAACCAATTCCAGAATCTCTCCCTCCTGTTAAGAGAGTCCACTCCCACAAACTCTCACCAATGTAGTATTTCATCTCAGTGTCATGCTGGTTCATGAGCTCCAGCAGCCGCAGTTCAATCTGAGCCTGACTCAGAAATGCTTTCTTGTTCTTGATAATCTTGATGGCTACCCATTCCTGAGCCTGTTGATCGTAGGCCTTCACTACCTACAGGGGCAGAAAAAACATAATAAAATTACCTTGTATTCAGCAGCTTATTATTTATTACTTTGGTATATGCCACCATTTCTGAAGACCCCAAGTACAGCATAAAATTAAAGCACAATCAGTCAGTATCAGAACGAAAAAGGCCTTGGTGTGTCACCATTTGGACAGCAGAATCTTCAGGGATCCCCCAAAGCGACTCCTAGAGCAGTATTTCTCAACCTCAGCAACTTTAATAGGGGGGGACTTCAACTCCCAGAATTCTCCAACCAGCATGAGTGCACATGCTGTTAATCTTCCTAGGATTCAATGGCACAAACCTAACTCATATAACTCATATAACTGTGCAAAATGAGGCCTTATCAACTCAGATGATCCTGCCTAGATTGTATCTAACTGAGTGAAGTAGGCTGATTTGATCCTTTAGATGCTACATGAAGCCCAACAGACAATCCAGCTTGGTTTTCCCTAATAGGGTGCCAAAGAATTGAGGTCTTTGGTGGTGGAGAAGACTCCTGCGAGTCCCTTGGACTGCAAGGCAATCAAAACGGTCAGTCCTAAAGGAGATCAACCCTGACTGCTCTTTAGAAGGCCAGATCCTGAAGGTGAAACTCAAATACTTTGGCCACCTAATGAGAAGGAAGGACTCCCTGGAGAAGAGCCTAATTCTGGGAACGATGGAGGGCAAAAGAAGAAGGGGACGGCAGAGAATAAGTGGCTGGATGGAGTCACTGAAGCAGTCGGCGTGAGCTTAAATGGACTTCAGAGGATGGTAGAGGACAGGAAGGCCTGGAGGAACATTGTCCATGGGGTTGCAATCGGTTGGACACAACTTTGCAACTAACAACAACAAATAGGGCTACTGCTGGATAGTTGTCCACAGATTCAGTAACAGTGGAGAATATCTTTCACTGCTTTTACGGTCCCAACGTAGGCACGAACTTGAGGCTTTCCCTATGTTCAGTCACATATATTTTTTTTCCCACACCACAGTTGCTCTACTTGACTCTTAAATCATATAATCTCCCAGAGCTTCTCAGAGTTCTAATATGCTCTCTTAAGCTGAGGGCCAGAGATGGGTCACTCAGAAGCAATTCTGTCAACCCCGTTTTCCCCCGAGTTTAGCAAATACTCAGTAATACTGTCCATTGGAAACCAACAAGAATCATTAGGCACTTGAGGTGGACCAATCAAACAAGTCCTTCCTCAAATAGGTGCGGGGAGCCAATCAATTCCACAGTAACCAGAGAGTGATCCTACCCCTAAGACTGTGTCTTAGTGCTCCAAAACAAAAGCCAAATAAAAAAAGTTGAACATGTAGACACCCATTTGTATTGGGGCCACAATCCTGAACAAGTCCATGAATGTCATGGTGGTCATCAATTCAGAAGCTGTATCCCCATCTCCCAATTAAAGGAAAACTGAAATTCCAGTACCAACAAGCTTAGGTGGGAATAAAGCTGCTGATAAGGAGTCCAAGACAGTGTCAATATCCCTAGTTTGTCACTAAGGTCTAAAACCACAATTCCACCATGGTACAAGTGGTAACAAGTGGAAGTAATTGCTCAATAGAGGAAAACAGTCAAATTTGCCAACAACAGTACTCTTTGAGAATTGGAAAAGGAAACTTAGCTTAGAATGAGGTGGAAATACAATTCCTAGTTACTTACAGGAGACAGGATTTACAGCCTTACAGGGACAAATGACCAGTCCACATAATATAGTACTGTTTCCTGACAGGCGAAAAGTCTGTGGGATTTCAAGCAGAACGCTCATACACCCTCCTTTGGAATGCAAAATGGCTTTATGTAGCCTTCAAATCATGTGCTCTACCACTGGCCAGTGACTCATTCTTTCTGAAGATTGAAGATAATTTGCTGCTATGTCTACACTGTCTTCCATCTGATGAAAGACACTATCTGCAGCAAAGGAGGGTTTCCAGCCCATATTCACAATGGAAATGAGTACAGCCCCAAATATGGTTACAGATCAGATACAAAATTATTTTCTTTGCTGCCCCCCATCCTCTGACCTGTCCAAAGGATCCTTTGCCAATGAGGGAGTCTATCTCATAACGTTCTAGCCAGCGCTCGCCATTGCGGACAATGTAATCATAGTTGTCATCATCATAGCCTTCGTTGTGCACTTTCCGTTCCTTTTTGGTACTTGTGTCCTCAGGTGCCACCTGCAAAGCTCGGCGTTTCTTCTTAGCATAATAGACCTGTCAATTATAGCAAAGATCAGGGTGTAACTAAAAGCCAACCAACCACCCAAGCAAAAAGAAAATTCTGTGCTCCTTTAAAAAATGAAAGTTACTTTTTTTCAGGGCAACAACTAAAGTCTCAGATTGACTACTGCGAGAACATGGAATGGTACTATCAACATATAAAATGAAGGAAAAATGAGGCTGGCATTTATGACGTTACTCTCCTCCTCCTTTCATATTTTAATCAAAGCTTCCCTCAAAAGAACTTACCTCATTGATATGCTTGTATGTTTTGATGAGGTCCACAGAGAGCTTGCGCAGTGGGGCTGTAGCAGAGTCCCGAAATGTAAGTGGGATCCTTCTCTGCAGAATGGCCAGGTCTGGCATGATCTATGGAAGAGGAATAATGAAAACACAACAATTAGATATACTGTAGGCATAATTCCCATGGAACTAGGGGAAAAAAGATTCACAAAGAAAAGAGCGTGCAGTAGTGATGTTAAGATGACTGTATTTTGATTTTGGAATATAGAGCCTGTCACCAAATTTGAGCTTCCTTTAGGGGCTTGACCAATAGTTTGCTATCACTTGGAGGTTGTGGCCGATACTATAGAAGCCATTTACCTCCTCTGAAATTTCTATCCATGTTCCATGGTTAACAGACTGAACCTAATGCCTGGATTCTAATAGCAGGTGCTAAAAACGAGGGCTTCAAAACTGCAAGATATGCATGCAGATTTTGGGTGGAATAGCTACCTTTGAAAGCGGGAAAACAGCTTAACAGTTTAACTGCATAGTTTTTGAAGATGAGCTGAATGGGAGATCTCTAAGGAAGGCAGAGTCAGGATTTTCCAGGGAACTACCTGCTGATGCTCAGCCATGGTCTGGATGCTGGAGAAGGGAGCATGGCTGTGCTGGCTCGACATGATTGTCTCAGTAGGAAGAGAGCGGCCCAGAGAGGCAACCTGGCTGCAGGGAGGCAGCTGGCATTGTGGGGTGCTGCTGCCACCTAGAGGACAAAAAAAGAGCCTAGATGAAAAATATTGCAAAACATGGTTGTACTGCCCCAAAATAACATTATATGCCTTGACCGCAAAATGAACTCCAGTTTAAGAACAGTCTCAGGTATCTCCATTGCAATTTAGAGTGAAGATGTGGCCCAGAAATTTGGTTCTATTCCTAGCTTGTCTGTAGGAAAGTAGGAGAGCTGACAATGGATTTAATTTCCTAAAATAGCCCAGAATGACAACAGAAGTACATCAAATTGTTGTCTGTATTTCCCTCTTAAGTATATTTCTTTAGTAATACCGTAAACCACAAAGTGAGGGTCAAACAAATACAATTCACTATTTTAATGCTCATATTTCCTAGCATTTACTTTATTTACCTAGACTTCTCTTTATATTTGCCAAATAAGAAGTCCACTGAATTTATTTGTGCAGCTACAAGGTATTGCATTAAGAAATAAATGGCATGCATTTCATAATATTTTTCAGACTTAGTGCTTGTGGAAGTATCTACTGAACAACACCAAATGGAAAACTGAGGGTCAAATACGAGATGAATGAAATGTTGGCACTGAGATTTAAAACTACAGAAAAAGGAAAAGAGAAAGAAAACTATGGGCACCTCCCAAAACACTTTTAGTCCCTCATTCAGTACATGTAAACTCTCAAGGGTGGCTTTCAACTGTCGAGCAATGCAGCACGGCAGGTCTGGTGTTAAGACGCTTGTCCACTAAGATTTGGGTTCAAACTCCATGCTAGTCCTGAAGGTTATTGGGTGACCTTCAGAACAATAACTATCATTCAGTTAATCCACCTAGAGCAGAATGGGGAACTATGGCCCCTTTATGACTTGTGGACTTCAACTCCCAGAATTCCTGAGCCAGCCATGCTGGCTTTAAGTTAAAGTCCACAAGTCATAAAAGGGCCATCGTTCCCCTGCCCTGTCCGAGGTTTGTTAAGAAGATCAAACAAAGCCCTCTGCTTCTTAGAGGACGGACACGATAGAAATGTAATCAATTCTAGGTCGGGAAAATTAGTTTCTCTTTACCTTTTAGAACCAAGGATGCATTCCTGAGCATGTCCTATCACTACTCTAATGGGATTTTGGAAAGGGAGGATGAGAGCATCATAGGTGCAGGCAAGAGAAGCAAGAGGAGAAACAAAGGTGGGGCCAAGCTTGAAAGCCATAAAGGAGGGGCAACAAGTAGAAAACGAGAAGAAGGCGTTTGCATTAATTTTTGGTGAATACCTCTCCTTGGATACATTTTCTGGTAGGCTGGGACCACAAGGATTGAAACAGATGATTAGGTGGGGCCTAGGCAAGAAGCAAAATTTTGTCATGCAGCCAAACCAAATTGCTTAGGGCTGTGCAAAATGTTGAAGTGGTGACTTATTCCAAATGAGATTCAATTGAATACCCTTTCAAATCAAGCCTATGTTTTGAGGTATCTTCAAATAGCTTTTGAGTGAACTGATGGCGAGTCAAAGATTCCTTGTAGCTTCTGGCTTTCGGAGTTTTAAATGTTATTATAATTTTCCTTCCATAAAATGACAAAGCTGAGGAGCAAAGTAGTAGAAGGGGACTGAATTCCCTGATGGTGACATGAACAGCTGGACAATGAACTAGGCCAAGACACGTCCCAGCAAAAACAGGTGGTCTGACAGTGGTGAACCCATTGATCTTTAATAATAACATGTTTAAAAACAGGTTTTTGATGTTTTTATTTCTAAACTGATTCAGGCAAATTCTTTATAGTCTGTTTTTTCATCCCTTCTAGCCTGCTTTAAAAGAAGTGAAGGGGGAATAGTTCAAAAATATATTGTAATTAAATCCTCCAGGATAGCCAGACAAAATTTTGCAGGGTTGGTGTCTTCTAAAACAGGGGTCTCCAACCTGTTTTAGACCAAAGTTTTTCTCCAACCAAAGCTGGCTGAGGAATTCTGGGAGTTGAAGTCCACAAGTCTTAAAATTGCCAAGGTTGGAGACCCCTGCTCTAAAAGTTCTATCACCACAGCTATTTACATCCCACTCTGCAAATAAAGTAGTTGAAAAGTTTTAATTCCTCTCCATTAGAGCCCTTCCCTTTTTTAAGAAAAAAAAAGCAGCTATCAAAACTTTGAATAGGTTCAAATCTAATCTTGTTGCTTCTAAATCCTGAATCTTACATGAAAATCAAATCCTGCCATCTTCAAATACTAAATCTTGAGTTTGTATTATATTTTGGTTGTTTTATGCATCCCTACACATTTTAACATCAGTTTTATTTATTAAAACAATGAAATACAAAAGAAGAATCAGCACTGTGTAGTGATTACACAGTGAACAAAAAAGTAAATAAAATATTTAAAATGATCTATATGTAACCATAAATAATAACAGAAAGATCCGTAAAGTATAAATACCTATATAAAATTAATAGACATTAAGCTTATCATTAAATCTAAACTATATAGCAATATAACCCTTACAAATAAGATAACTTTTTGAACATGGTTAGGTAAAAGAGTTCCCAAGAGTATATGGGGTAATCAATTTTTTAACTGTTCCTGGCACTGCCTTGAGATTCCAAACTATCATTTATTGTTCTTCTCCCACAAGAAATAACTTTTTACTGTCAGTGCAAGAACTTATCAATGTAAATGTGTGGATTTCACTTTTCCCAACGCACAATTATTACAAAGAACTCCAGACAAGGTCCTGATAAGACACCATAGTGAGCTAGAATTTTACTATAAGTTTTATTAGAAAAGTAATGAACAAGAATTCACAGAATAATCTGGAAATTGACCATTTGTTTTCTCTAAATCAGTCAGAAAGATCTGAACATCTTCACATGGTTCAAGCCTCAAAGGCAATAAGGTGCAAAATCATTGTATGTTACAACTAACACTAAGAATTTATACAATGTTTGGACTAAAAATACAGCACAGCTATAGGCAAATATTTTGTTCTGAACTAGCTACCTGCTCCACATGACATTGTAGATGATTTCACTCAACTAGTTCTTGGTCAGCCCATGTGATCCAGCAAGAATTCTAGCACCTGCATGTTTGACTGAGGAAGGCCAGCTCTGATTTCTTTTCCAGCAATTGTAATTTTGCACTGGAGACTTGAGCAGCACTCTTCTTAAACCCTGAAGGTATCATCAGATCGTCACTTTTATTCTACTACTTTCCAGGATATGCATTTCTATTTTTGTGGACTCCTTTGCTGAGATTCACGTGTCCTATCACAGCACTTTTTTCAAAGTATTCAAACAACCCCAAAACTTGAAATAACCTAAATGTTGCTCAAATAACTTATTCACTTGCATGTTATATTAATAAGGAAGTAATGTTTTTTCTAATTATCTGTAAGTATACATAAATTGTCTTCGATGAAAACTTCTGCAGAACCAGACCAGATTACTATGGCATTACCATTTTTTTTTCAAAGAAGGAAAGTCCTACAGGATACTTTTTTTCCTCCCAGCATTACTAATTATGAAAAAAAATAAACATGAAATATTTACTAATGTAAGATATTAATCTAATTATATGCCAAGAGAAGAATTTTGTTTGTGCATACACGTTCTCTCTCACACACAAATTCTCTGCTAGTCATGAGAAGTGGTAGTGCAGGTCACAGAGTTCTAGTTTTATATGTACTGGAAATCTGATTTTGACTTCATTTTCTTCATGTTATTTCCTTCGTTACAATGGAGATATATATATAATAGTTGGTAAAAATAGTTTTATCTGTCATATTTACCGTTTATATTATCAGATTTCAAAAATTCCCAAAAATATAACCTAACATGACCTTAGGAGGTATTACAGTATACTAGTTCTCCTTTATAATAAGACCTGCCCACTTCACAAGAAACATTTCTAGACTAAAACTGTAAATCTAGGTTCAAATTTTATTCTTAATGATTCATGGTATATTCCAAAGGGCCATTGGAAGAAGACGTGGGACATAGCTGAGAGGGAAATTAGCTCAAGCAGGGACATATCAGGGGCAGGAAGCAATTTAGCTACCATGTGAACAATGTTTCTTTGGAAGCTGAGCTAGATTTGTAACACTTTTAAGCCAACATTGTCTACACTGACTCAATGGCAATTCTCTTAGGCTTTCAGGAGATGTTTTCTTCAGACCTATCACCAAAGACCTTATAATGGCAATGCTGGGGACTGAACTCAGGACACTCTGCAAATGATATATAGTGTTAAAAAATAATGGCTGTGGTTAATTTCTGCTACTTTGAAGTGAGGATAAAACTAGCCCAAGAATGGGTTCCACAGAACAATGCTGCACAAGGATCTCAATGAACATTTTTAGACTCTCTGTCAAGTACCATCCTTCCAATGCCTTGATGTCACATAAGGTATGAAGGATTTTTAACCTATTACATATATTTGGCCCGGTGGTCTCCCATCCATGGATTTGAGCCGATACCAACTTGACATCAACATGAAAAATGTGCAGCTAGACCATCTGCTGCATTGCAAGGAGGCAAGGCTGTTTGTTTACTTTAAAATGCAGCCTTGCCTTAAGAGTTATTTGCCCACAAATAACAAAAGCCAGTGACATGTCATATTAGTCAGTAGTCAAAACAGTGGGCTTGGAGCTGGCTACATCTGCACAGCATGTAAGTTCTACATTGTGGGGGAATTAATTATAACGCAATTAATTACATTGCATTTAAATGTATAGTTGTTTAAATAAATTGGACAAGGATTTGAATCAAATGCTCCCATGTCTCTCAAGATGCCATATTAACATAAATGGTTGATACCAAGGGAACAGCAGAACCCACTCAGCACTAAACTAATATTGAGATTTGGGGAGCCTTCAAAATTGGCACTGAAGTTATAGGCTATTTCTTAGTTATGTTTGTGATTTCTCTCCATTGAAGAAATTCTGCTTTCCCTCAAAACAGAGATACTTCAGGTCTACATCACTGTTCACTTTTGCACATAAAGTACAATTTTATATGGTTCGATCTTGCGATGGCTCTGT